GACTTCTCCAGTGAAGTGTGTGCCTCAATCAGAGGATACTATGTTTGGAATCTCTCTGTGTCAAAGGAAGAACTGGTACAATCCACGAGCGGTGTCGATAGCATGATCTCTTGCGCATGGTATGGCTGTAAAGTGTCGGCTGAAGCTATCCAAGATGGTTAGGATGTAGCATTTTCCCTTTGAGTTGGGCATTGTGACAGTCTATAAAGACAAGATCGAATGGTCTCTTTCCTTATTTGTAGTGGCCAATGGGCCAGTGGGTACATCTACCGTAGTTGCCCTTGCACTTAGCACACGTGTCACAAGAATCGACATAGGCCTTGATGTCGCGGTTTTTGAATTCCCACCAGTAGCTGGAAAGTGGTTGGTGCCTTCGTGTGCCTGGTAGAGGTATCTGGATCGTAGTTTGTATGGTGCAACCAATCTCAGAGAGTGTTTACTGTCTCTTATCATCAAAACAGAGGTGCCTGGTTCTAGAAAAAATTGGTGCAAATGTTTTTTGAAAAGCGTAGCTCGGTGGTCGTCAGAATCGATATGAGATTCACTTGGAGTGGGTGACTGGAGGGCACTGATGATCTTTGCCAGGGCGTCCTCCTTCTGTTGTTCATTTGCCATTTGCGATGCCGAGGTGGTTGCAGATTCTCTCAGTGGGGATGGTGGTGGTAGAGTGATAGGCGAAGAATGCGTTGGTGATGCGCTTGTGGGTGCGGGCATTTTGTGGTGTGTGAGTTTTGGGAATGAGCTGTAAACTGTTAAACTCGCCAAGGCACCAAGATGGGATGTATACCTCGAATGTCCTACCTGCCGGTGTAGGGTCATTCAGGGCTTTCGTTTTCTTATGTCCGCAAGCTCTGCTGAACTGACATGTTCAGCAGAGCTTGCAAACATAAGAAAAGCCCATACATTTGATTCGCCTTCAACATATTCTAAGACAAATTTATAACAGTAATAGCAACAAATAAGCAAAATAGGACATTCACAGTAAAGATGAACTCTGGTGAATTCCTAAAAAAAACAGAAATCATTTACTGCCTACTGGGAAAGAATAACACAATACTTTCTGAGAAAAAGGAAAGGAAAGAAAACTTGATCAAATTCAAAATCAAGAATCAAGGAGATTTAGAAAAGGATGGTTAAAACAAAAACTAAAATACTTAAAGGATTTTGTGTGAAAATTAATAATAATAATAAGCCCTTGAAAAATAATAATAATAAATTGTTATTAAAGACCACAAACAAAAACGGTGCCTCCTTATTGATATGGCAGTCCCTGCTGACTGCAATGTATCTTTGAAGATATTCAAAAAGCTGTCAAAATACAAGGACCTTGAAATAGAAATCTCAAAAATGTGGCATATGGGAACATCAACAATCCCTGTTGTAATTGGAGCCCTAGGACTGGTTGGAAAATATTGCAGTAGACTAATTGAAGGGATTCCTGGAAGTCCATGCCTCAAGGAGATACAAAAAATTGTTCTGACAAGTACAGCCCACACTTTATCTATGTAATTTTTTTTTTTTGTCAGTGGAAAGTGTCATGATGCCATTTCTAACCTTAGGTCCCTGGGTGGGACCCGGAAAGAAATGTGTAAATGCCAGAAATCAAAGAAAATAAAAATAATAATAATAATAGGGAGGTGCTGTATCAGTAAGTAATTATTAATAACAATAATAATAAGGATTAAGGGTTATGCCCCTTGTTACTTGTATCTGCCCATGGAGATCATTCCATGAGTGTTCTAATAAAGTCTGTTAAACTGTTAATACATGTTTACCGTCATTCCTACTATCCAAGCAGCAGCAGCTCAGAAAGTGCATCACTTTCTGGGATGAATGTTACCCTCATGAATGAAATAAGTAGCATTTTTGTATGTTTTACTAATATCCAATATAAATAGAATTTTTACTTTAATAATCAGCATGGTCTTAAAGAATTTTCATTAGTTACCTATACTCACATAATAATTTTCTTTTTAAACCAATGAAATGGATATCTTTTATTTTAGTGCAAGTATTTCAGTCAATCTCACTACAAAAATGTTCAGTCATTTTATTTTTCAGCCATATATCATTGTACACAAAATATTATCCATCATAACTTTATATATATAACACTCACTTGAGTTATATGCTTTAGGAAATTTTACAGTAAATAACATGAATTATGTAGCTATCATCAGTATTTAAGATTTGTATGTATTCTCACATGCAAAAAAATTGGATAAAGAGACAAAACAGAATGACAAATAGATAATTTTATGGTAGCTTCTTTTTTCTTTCAAATGACAAAAATGTTTTAATATCCTATTAAAATATCTAGGTACATACAAATTTTATCATTTGTAATATTGAGTCACATTAGTAAATTCATGCATTTACAAATCCCAATAGATCAAGAAAATTATCTATACAGCAATGTACTATTTTAATCAGGAGTAAGTTTGCTTAACTTATTTTGCTATTATAACTGCTTAGGCAAATAAAACATGAAAAAATATTGTCATATCATTTGCAAAACCCAATTCCTGGTGAAATATAATTTAAAAATATAGTCAAATTTATTTTAAAATAAAATCCTTTTCATCATTTTCATAAATCTATACACCTATTGTCTATAATTTTGATATGGATCATTATCCTTCTAAGAATTGTTTAGGCTACTAAACTCATTCTTTGTGTTGATTTTGTTAATGTTTCAGCCAATCTATTATACAGCATTTTTCAGGAGCAAAAGGGAATCACTTTTTACAAAAATTGGTGGAACATAGAAAACAAAAGACTGGTTGAAACTTACACTTACTGATTTATAAAAAACATTGGATTTATCCTTATGTGCAAATTTTATGGTTTAATTATTTTGTACACATTTACTTTTATAAGTATGAACAGAATGTAAATTACAATAGAACAAAAAATGAAAACAGCTTATTTATTTAAATAAATACCAATGATAAACTGCTTTAGTAATTGATAACCACCAAAATAACATGGATATTTTTTAAATTTATTTCCTTCATCTTCTCACTGACCAACCTTAATAATAATAAAAAAAATTATACTAATAGCAGTAATAATTGAATAGGCTCAGGAAAGCTTACAAATAATCCAGTATTTATTGCTAATCCATACAACAAAATTGTAGCATGTTGATTTGTATCTTAATCAGGGCCAGATTAAGATCACAATTGGACCCACAATACCTGTAATTTGCACATGCATACCACATATGTGTAGATATGTGTACTTTACATTCCCAAGGAAATGTTGCCTTATGACTGACCCACAATCATACTTCCTATCATTAATTTTCTTTATTTTGTTATCTCTTTGTTGACACATTTTAACACACCACAATACACTTTACAACAGTAAGTATTAGAATCATATTTAACAACGTTTGTGTTTTTTGTGTTTCTTTTTTTTTCTTTTTGTATTGCCTGGATTCACAGTCAATTTAATTTTATCTAATAGCGCTACTATGGCTGAAAAAAAATAAAGAAAAATGTTTTTCCTTTTGTGATAGCTTACACTTAAAGTTTGAGGCCATGGCACTCATGGTTAATTTGATACTGCCTATAAAATCATATTTTGATTCACATTTTTTATGTATTAAGTAATTATTTTATTTATAATTGATATTTTTTCCAAGGGAATAGTGATAAAGTTCAATAGTGATATTTATTTGTGTGTCTCCTAAAAGTATTGGATTATGTACAATGGTGTAGTTGGCACATTAATACTCATCTGGCTCTGATCTTAATGCTTTTATACTTTTATATATATATATATATATACATATATATATATATATGTATATATATATATATATATATATTACACACACACATATAAAGATAGCTTGATGAGTGTATTTAAGCATGAAACTGGGTGCTGACTTCAATGTCCACTTTTATATTTACATACGAGGGGGGACCCGAAAGTAATTGGAATCATTTTCTGTGTGACAAGGCCATAGTAGTTCAGGCTTCCACCACTAGATGTCACTTGAGGCAACCCTCAGGCATCAGTGTGCTAGCTGGTGTCATCAGGGGAAGATGTACAGCTCCGTGTTTCACATTTGTTTTGAAGTACTTAACACCTTTTTGTCTATTTTTACCATGGCGGAAAGGATGTCTGTCGTAAACTGAAAGAACATTTGGAAGTTGATCCAGACCTTTTTTCGAAGGTCATCACTGGTGACGAAAACTGGTGCTATGGCTACAACACAGAAATGATGCAGCAATCAAGTCAGTTGAAGCATCCAACGTCACCACAACCCAAAAAAGTGTGTCAAGTGAAGTTCAATGTCAAGACAATGCTGATTTGTTTCTTTGATGTGAAAGGAATTCTCAACAAAGAATGTGTTCCTCCTGGTCAAACTGTTAACCAGGCTTTTTACTTGGAAGTCCTGAAGCGTTTGCAAGACAAAGTGAGACAAAAATACTCTGACCTGTGGCAAAGTGGAGGGAAATGGTTGCATCATGACAATGCGCCAGTGAGACAGTTTCTAACCAAGAATGGCATGACCCCACTTCCACACCCTCCCTATTCACCTGATCTCACCCCTTATGACTTTTTTTTATTTCCCTGAATGAAGAAAGTCCTCAAAGGAAAACGTTTTGCATATGTGGAAGAGGTTAAGAAAACGACGGAGTCATTAAAAAACATAACTTCACAAGAGTTCCAGGACTGCTTTGAACAGTGGAAAACACATCTGGACTGGTGCATTGCTTCAAATGGAGAATACTTTGAGGGTGATAAGAATATAAACATGCAACAATAAATGAATAAAATTATATGACACAATTCCAGTTACATTTGGGTCCCCTCTGGTATGTTCTATTCCTGATATTGAGTACTTTAACCCATAAATATAGCATACCTTAAAACTATATTTCTATCATATATATTTTTTCTGCATTTTTACACTGTCCATCATAGACCCATTTCTGAAAATGCAATATGTCTTCTCATAAAATTCTCATTTTTTTTCACCATAGAAAAACTATGCAATTCGATGACTTACTACGGACCACTGGAGAGTATGGAAGATATCAAAAGCTTAAAATCAATCTTACCTTTGCAGTTGGAGTTACAACAACATGGGTTGCTTACAACATGATATTCGTGACCAGGGTAGTTGAACATCATTGCCAACTACCCATTGTTAATGACTCAGAGGTATTTGTCAACATCAGTGAAGATGATTTGATGAATTTATTCATACCACAAGATGATAGCTGTCACATGTATCAGCAAGGAGATGTTGAAAAACTCATGGTTACTATGAATTATAACATTTCTGAAGTTCTGGATAATGTATACACTTTACAAAAGTTTCCTTGCCAGTATGGATGGGAGTATCCAGGGAGAAGAAAAACAATTGTTTCTGAGGTAAGATTTTCATTAAATTTTTATTTTTGGTTTATATATTTAGCTTTTTTCCAATGTGAATATATTAAATTGTCATTTAAGGTATTTGACATAATTGATATTTATTAAATTTCTCCAGCTTTATCAGGCTTCCACAGATGCACACACACACACAAATATATATATATTTTGCAACAAAAAAAAAGTAAAAATTACCTCAACATGGGATAGTCTATTTCAAGCTGTTCTGTACACAGCTATCATCAACTGCATACAGAACAGCTTGAAATAGACTATCCCATGTTGAGGTAATTTTTTCTTTTTTGCTGTAAAAAATACATATGCTCAGTTATAATAAATACATCAAGCTCTCTGTGGATCAGTTTTAATAATTAATATTACTAGGATCCGCCCAGATTATATACCAACAGATCGATTACCTGTACTAATATATATATATATATATATATATATATATATATATATATATATATATATACTAAAAAAAAACAAGAATTCCTGATAAAATGTTGAGGATTGTCAGTTCCTTCTATCAGTGTATAGAAGATTCTGTCATATTGGATGATGAAAGTTCTGATCTTTTTGCCATAAAAACAAGGTTGTATCATGGCTCCTGTGCTTTTTGCCTTTTGTTTTTTTTAATGTACTTGAATTTGTATTTGGAAATTTTAATACTGGCATTAAATTCCAATTATTTACTTCAGGCGAGCCATTTAATCATTGACAATTCAAATTTAAGACCTTGACAAGAGCCAGTATTATTTGTGATCTCTTATTTACCAATGATGTTGCTCTGATTGCAACATCCTTTCATGAGGCTTGTGAGTAGATTTTCAATTGCATCAAGGCATTTGCCTTAATGATTAGTATTCAGGAGACTGAAGTGGTACACCAACCTAAACCAGTGCTGTAATCTAACTGTGATGTTCAACAACTCCCTTCAGCACACACTCTACTCTGTGCCAATTACTGTTGATGGTAGAGAACTTAAATATTTGATGTCATTTAAGTACCTCTAATGCAAAACCTCTTTTGACAATGAGATCATTTATTGCATCTCTAAAGCTACAGATTACATGAGAAAACTTGACAATTAACTGTGGAATGTCATAGGAATTTCCCTGAAAATCAAGATTAATGTGTACCAAGCCGTAGTAATTACAATTCTCTTTTATTGAATTGAATCCAGGACCCCTACCAGAATTCTACTCGCCAGCTTGATGTCTTCCATAAGCAGTGACTTTATACAATCTATATTATACTCTGGAAGTTAAAATATCTAATATTAATCTGTTTTCAGAGTGTAAAAATCAGAGGCATACAGACATTTCTAATGCAATCACAACTTCAATGAGCTGGTTTTGATGAAAGGACACCAAAAATCCCCATGTACAGTCAACTGCATGACAGTACTTGAAGGATGGGACAACCCCTATTGAGATATAGCGATAAACTCATACAACATTTAAATTCTATTGATGTCCCTCTGTTGTCCTTTGAGGTATTGGATTCTAATCATGCCACGTGGAGGAATATGTATATAAAAGAGATAACAACTTTTGAATATCTCCATTTTACTAAACTCCACTTAGAGTTTTCATTAGTGGTGTTGTTCCTTGCCTTGTATATGAAATGATGTGTGGATCTAAAGCTAGCATTAAGTCATTGAAAGTAAAACACAAGTAATTCATCAAAAATAGAACATGCTGCCGGGCCCTTATGCATCAAACATGATGGGAGATTCCATCAGATATGTACATTGGATATCAACAATATGTATCATCATATTTTCTGGTGTTACTGGACTCTTCACATTTTGAGTGCCATTTCAGCTCAGATGTAAATCAGTTATTTAAATTTCAAAGATTAATTTTGTCTTGAAAAGGTGTTAAAGGGGTATAGGTAGATAATGTGCTCATAGCTTTTTGTAAAAATGTATTGTCTATAACTGGCTGAGAGATCACCAGATCTTCTTGATACCCAAAGTAAAATGGAACCAATTACTTGAATTACTAATTTTAGATATTGTCAACAAAATTATCATATCTTCCAAGATAATTATAATTCCTCAAAGTGAGTTGAGGAATTGTGTAGTTACTTTAATTTTAATGCTTCATTTCATTAGATATCTTGAAAATAGAACATTAAAATCTATTTTAAGATAAATAGATAAATCTTCAAAATATTATTATTCAAAAATCATAAAGTTTTATTCATAATTTTGAAAAGGCTTTTCTGTTATCTTTGTAATTTCATATTATCGCTATGTGGATGCTGTTTATACAATTTATTTATTAATTTAATATATTCTTTGCTATATTTCAAAATATTTCCCAGTTGGTTGAACATGCAACATGTCCAATTATTTAATGACTTGTCATTATCTAATCAATTGATTAATTAAAATATTGCTGAACAAAATAATGAATATTATTCTGAGTACAATTTGTTATAAAATAAAAATATATAAAAAACAAAATATTTGGGGAACAATGAGCTTCCAATGCAAAATTTGGTATCAGAATTTCTTAAAAGTTAACAAAGCACCTTCATGCTTTACCATAGTTCATAGAACAGCCAGCTGAATTTCTTTATTTTCTTGTTACACTGAAAATATGTTAAATGACATTCTTGTAGTCTGAATTCAACCAGGTTATTTTTTAAATACATATGTCTATTTTAACTTCAAATTTAGATATATACATAAGTGTCTGTAACCTGAAATCCACTGTTTTCAGTAGGCACTTGGGAGGAGACAGCTGCAGATCACTGTACCTGGTTATAGATGCAGTCTTCATCATTGTGGAGGAGAAACAAACATGGTTGAACAAAAGTGGGAGAAGAAATGCTGTGGTAGTGACAATTCAGATGCAGCTGTCACCCTTCATATGCCAGGAACTGCCATTCAAAAATTGGTTTGTCCAACCTGAATTCTCAGTGGGCATATCAGCTGTCTAATTAGACATGTTCTACCAAGAGACATCAGTATGAAACTGCTATGATAGATCTTGAATTTGCTTCCAAATTTGGTTCAGTGGCATTATTATAAATAATTCTTTCTGCTACCAAAGTTGAACAGAAGTTATATATTCACCCATGTTTTTCTATATATATTTTGAAAATTTCTCTATTAATTTCAATGAAATGTTGTGAAAGCATTGGCTTTGGGCCTAGAAGTAACTGATTACATTTTGGAAAAATCTAGGATTTTTTTATTGTTTGATAGTTAGTATATTAAGACTCCTCTGAAAAATATATAGAAAAATATTAAGACTTCTCTGAAAAATATATGGAAAAATTAAATTTATACAGTTATCTCCCCTGCATTGTGTCTATAAGTGAGTTTCATTATTATAATGCTTATTATATCATCAAATTATTACTTCTACCAACAAAGCTAGATAGAGGTTACATATTCATGTTTATCTGTTTTTCATGTATCTGATGAATAATGATTACAAACTTTAATGAAATGATGTTGGCAGAGGTATGCGCACACTGATTGCTTTCTAATTAATCTAGTTCCAACAATTCTAGTTATAGCCAAGAGAAATTACTTGATAAGTTGGAGGGGGATATTGCAATTATGTATTTCAATAAATTAATTTCATGAGAATTTTTTATATTGGCTTTTAAAGATAATTGCTGTTATTTATTTAACTTAGAGTTATGGCATTTTTGAAAGGATAATTTGATACATATGAAACACTTCTTAAGTCAAGAAGAGGTTGTAAGTAATACTAATGAACAATCTGATTAGAAACAAAAGAGAAAGAGATTAATAACAATAACTTTTAAAGAGGTAATTTGTTTCAAGAATTCAGTATCTTTATTTACAACACTTGGAATTCTTAAATGGCTATTAATTCAGTACTGAGCACATCTGTCATTACTGATTTTTGGTGATAATGATTTGGAATTATCAATATTATGGTTTTAAGCTTTAATAATATTTAAAAAATTGATCAAATAAATTTTATTGTTTATAGTAATCCCTGTTAATCTCATTATTTTAAATGGGAAAAATAAATAAAAAATATACCTCAGTTTAGAAAATTATATATTCTTAATGCGTAATTTAAAATGAAATATTTTACAATTTTTATTAAACACTTTTTTCTAATTATAAGTCTGATGATAAATAAGGTAAAATTTCAAAATAATATTTTTAAATCTTCCTGACTTTAGAGAAAATAAAATTTTTAATATCAAATATATATTGATTTTTTCCAGTATAAAATGTCACATATAAAGAAAATCTGGATAAAATTTGTAGTTTAATTTTCTTTAAAAGTCATTAAAAAATATTAAAATCATATGTGCCACACTAACTTAATCATTTTATTGGTTGTTACTAATGAGCAACAAATTTCTGACTTGCTGACCAATCAATGCTTATAATACATTCTGCATTTATATGGAATATACATATGTAACGTGAATTTTATAAATAATTGAAATAATCTCTCTTTTTTTAAAAGATGTAGCATGAATCCATGTTTACATTTTAGAGTGATAATTTTTTTAAAAAATCTAAATCCCCTTGTAATTTTCTTTTTGTTTTTGGTACAAAGTTTACTTTATGCAAAAATCCTGGTTGCTTATGAATTATTCCTTTTTAATAAAACTGTTTTCATTGACAAATAAATACTATTGTGAATAACTCATCAGAAAGATAAAAGTGTTTTCAATATTAAATTTCATTTACATTTTATGGATTTGAAAGTACATTTCAAGTATTCTGAGTATTTTTCTATTCTACAAATGCTTCTAAAGGCAAATATTAAACACCTACTCTTATGACAAATCAAAATTCAATGTGCACATGTAAATTCTCATTTTATACATACACATTTATATGAGCCCTGGTTATAGACTAATAGTTAGCATGCTAATTAGACAAACCATAGTGCAATTACTACAATAATAATTAAGTATCCCATTATTGTGGCCTTGTGCTATACAGAGTAAAGCTTATTAGTAATCAACAGCTGTCAATCATAGTTAAATTCTAACAATAAAGAGAAAAGAAGGAAAATTGAAAGAATACAGATAAAAAGATTTGGAGAGGAGAAAGAGATTAAAATTTATCTAAAAATATATATATATAAAATAACTATTATGCCTTGATTGTGGAGATGTATAAAAACTATATAGTTCTACTATATTAACATTTTCAAACAATATATGTGCTAAATGTATTGAATTTTTTCATTAATTTCTAGTATCATGACACAGTTTATTTGCAAAATTTCCTTTTTAGTATGACTTGGTCTGTGATAAAACATGGCTGGTGGCTGCAGCACAAGCAGTATTTTTTCTTGGTCAACTATTTGGAGCAGTTCTTTTCAGTCAGATTTTTGCTGACAAGTAAGATTTTATTAAGTTTTTGGGATTGTTTTCTTTAAATTGTTCTTTGACCTTAAATCATTCACAATTTCCTGATTAATATATTGTAAGGAAATTATTTACAATTTTAAAGTGATTATCCATCAAAATTTTAAAATTTCTTCTTCTCATCTTAAATCTTTAAAAGATTTTCTTTAGGTATCTTGATATATATCCTTATAAATTAATATACCGGATGTAACAGCAAAATTGTCCAAATCACATAACAGCATAATTGTCCATTCTACAAAATGTTTAATCTCTAAAAAAACACCAAATTAATTGAGTTTCTTTTTTCCAGGTTTTCAGATGTTTAGCCATTTTGATACCATTTGATACTCTTTGAGTTATTCAACTAGAAAACAGGTTAAAATCATTTTATGTCAGCCCCACTATGTTTTCCCAACTGAGCAATGGTTAGATGAAAAATCCTTCAGGTCTTCAGTAATGGTACCAACATCAAAGTCCATTCAAGAGTCATCAAGAGAATGGTGAATAAGTTTTAAAAAGAGGGAACAGTAGAGAGGAAAACTGGATCAGGAGGTCACAACATGAAGAGGGATCATCATTTCAATTTAGAGCTAAAGAGATCAATTAGAAAAGCTCCAACTCAATCCATAAGACGTTTGGCACATGAGAGTTTCACCTATGACAGTCCAAAGAGCAGTGAAAAAAGACTTGAAAATAAAATTGTACATGAAACGTGAGGTACCTAGTTACTCCAGGACAGAAAGTTAGGAGGTTAGATAGGGCAAATATCATCTTGAATAAGTTAGAAAACGATCCTAGAATAATATATATATATATATATATATATATATATATATATATATATATATTGTAACTTTATTTTAATCCTTCATGAGCTTCTGATCCTAAGCTATGATTATTTAATGATGAATATATCATTTTTGTCTTTGACCAATTTCATCATGATTCTTCTGTTAATCTTGTAGAGTAATTATACATTCTTATTGCTCAAAGTAAAGTCCAATAGTGTTACAAAAACGGAGAATTCCAGTAAGATATCTTTAATCATTTCTAAGATACAACAGTTTAAAGCTTAATCTAACAATTGGGCAATTTTGCTGTTACACCTGGTAATATTGCTAATGATAATAATGTTTTTAATTTCTTGTATTTGATATTACATATATATTGGAGATTAAATAGCAGTAAGTTTATTTAGTACTCCAGCACCCTCCTGAGTATTATTGTACTTATAGTTTTATTATTTCATGTCAAAGTATAATTTTTTATCCTTTCAGATTCGGTCGCCGTTTTAGCTTTCTGCTCTCAGTAAACATCATGGTTGCAAGTGGCTGTGCTACAGTTTTTGCTGTGAATTTGTCTATCTTTATGTTACTTTATTTTATACAAGGATTTGGGCAAATCAGCTCATTTCTATGCATCTTTAGGCTATGTAAGTATTTTCCTCACTCTCTTTTCTGTATATTTCTAAATTCTTCCTTTTTTCATGCATTTATCTTTAAAATAAAAAATTTAAAAATCTTTGGAAAAATTCTCTAAATAGCTCTTTCTTTTTTGAAAATCTTGAAACATTAATAAATAAGCCCAAACAATTGCAAACTTTCTCTATCATTATTTTAATTTAATTTAAATAAAATTAAAAATATCATATATAATAAAAGTGATATAAATGGTTTCTTAAAAAAAATGGGAAAAACATCTTCCTCAGGACATCTACATTTATACATTAATTCCTAATCTCTGATATAGCCTTTCTTCATAATTAATAATGTATAAACTGAGTACAGAAACCTAGAACAAATCTTAGGTAAAAAGTGTAAAATTCAGAGCATAATCATCAATTTTTCCCTACCATCAGGTATATTTAATTTATTATGCAGAAAATTATTAAAGCTAAGTGAATAAAGATAGAGTAAGAATAAAGTCAGTGGGCAGAAATAGAAAAAGCCAAATTTTTATATACCAGATTAAATTTAAGCTGGCACTAAAATACAACTATGATTATTATTTCATTTTGGTTTACCATCAGAATTTGTTGTTTCCCTATACATGTAATCATTAGAGTGAATGATAAATTCTACTAGTGTTTTCATGTTACATAATGAACTAATTACATAATAAACAAAATGCAAACACTTTCTTAACACATTTTAACACTTAAAATGATTAAGAAAAATACTAATGTTTTTGGATAACAAAACCTTTTGTAAATAAACCTCTAAAAAGATTCTTTAATTTTATCATATATGCCTGCTTTTATTCATGCATAAAATAATAACATACCAGGTACAAAGATACTTTCCTTGAAATTTATGCAAAAGTAGGCAGCTTAGTTTAATTTACAGAAATTCAAATAAAACCTTAAATAAACACACATTTTACCACAAAACTATAACTTGAAACCTGTGACATCACTTATTTATTCCTACATTCATTTTTTTCTTATGAATAGAACATACAACCAAATCTCTCTTTGACTTTGGCTGTTGAAACCAAATATGGGAAACCCTTGGCATCCAATGTAAACATTTTGGATGATAATATTCCTTGTAATATCTATTGACATTTTTCTTATTACACTCACCTTTTATAGTCACCATGTGTACCATGAAAAATTACAAAAAAAAATTTCATTAGATCTAACTTGACTTACAAACAGAACATTTTAGGATGATTTTATTAAAAAAATTACTTATTCCAAAAAGTTAATTTCATTACTGTTATTTTAATGCTGGTCCAATTTCTATTACCAATTTGTTTCTTGGTAATCACCTACTCTGAATCTACATGCATTCAATGTAAATATTTAAAATTCTCCTCTTAAATGCATTTGTTTTACATTCAAATGCATTTTTTCTATTAAATACCCTTTAAATAATATATACAAAAAATAAAGCTTTTTTATTTTATAAAATATAAAATGACTACCAATCATAATCAACGAAGATTATCAGATGATATAAAGTAATTAATCATAGAAAATATTTACAAAAACAAAATTAGCTTACAAATGCTTCCCAGATAAAGAATATTCTGTTTTAAAATCTTTTGTCTAGAAACTATATTTCACCATTTAGCACAACATATTTATGAAGACATTTTCAAAAATGAAGCATGCTAAATCTATAGAGGTAGGTCTTAACTGGTTAAGATTTAAAGTTAAGAAAGCATAAACTTTTAACCAACATCTGGCCCATTTTCAAAAATGTTTGCTTATCTCTGCTTTAATCAAACTGAATATGACAATCTACTCAAAAAAAATTGACAGCTGAAAACTACAGATGAAAAGCTTCTTAATTTTACTGGTTTGAGAAGAATTACATTCTAAAGGCCAGATTAAACTTATGTCAAAACATCATACTCATGTTATTGACATTTAAGCCAAAAAGAGGAAATTACATTTATAATTATTATAAATGAATATTACAATTTATTTTTTTTAAATGGTTAAATTCATTTTTTTAATGCAAAAAAAAATAATCAAATTAGTTTATAATTTGATTTTATTTAATCAAAAGTAACTGAACTAATTTGTTCAAAATTATCAGAATTCTCAATGTATTGATTCTATACATAATATATTATAGAAATAAATGATATTACAATAACTAATTTTAATTGAATGTAAAATAATTAACTGTATGCAAGAACTACAAAGATACTTATGGGTTTGTTTGAAGTTGTAGGTTAAGGAAATGAAGGCCCAAATGTTGACAACATTAATTTAAGTGCTACATTGGTAATGTCCATTGCCACAAACTGATATAGAAAAAGAAAATCTGATTTTAAACTGAGCTAGTTTTTTTTTTATTTCCTAAGCACTCAGTTGATTACTTTTAAAATAAACACATTTTCCAACAAAATAATTATTTAAAACAGCTCAGAATTAAAAGTACTCTTACAAAACAAGCAGAATTAATATTTATGACATGTATAACAGTTTTTGAGAATTTAGCTATCACTTTGTTTAGTAGCCTTAAAAGAATGAGGAGGCTGATCACTCTGAAGTTTAAGCATTAAAATTTAACTTTTTGAAACTTTTATTCTTAAGACTATATAAATTCCTAACAACTGATACTAAATATGACTACTTCATTAATAACTTTGGAGGGGGAATTGATAAGTTTCAATTGAGTTTGAAAAGGGCTTTGATTTTTTTATGATAATGATTTTCCATTTAACAATGGTACTTAAATCTGATTTTTGCTATGATTTCATGCAAAATAAATAAAAATTTATATATTTTTATGAATATTAAAAGAATAAAACATCATAAGAAAAATTACTTGAACCTTGAAAATTTCTGATACAGGCCTAATAGGTTTTAAATCTCTGAAAATATGAACTGAAATTATACACTATCATATACACTTATATGATTAAGATACTATGCGAATTTCAGTTGATTTGTAATGTTTTTTATAAGAAATATTTATAACTTATTTGGTAACATGAGATTTGAGTATTCCTATTAAGGACTGTTCACTATATTGTAAATAAATGCAATAGTATAGTTATAGATATTTAATTTTAATTTCAAATATATAAATATTGTCATATGCTGTAAAAAATATATAAACAAAGAAGAAAAACAAGATACTGTAAAGTTATTAAGTGATGTGAAAACAATGTTGGAAATTGCAAAATAGTTTAACAGATCAAAGAACAAAAAGTAATTTAAACATTGGTAAGATAAGAACAAGAAAAATGGCTTTATTAATGTCACAGAAAGGAATTTGAGAAAAATTAAGAGTAATAAACAATAAAGTGAATTGACCAGTAAAAAGTATTTGAAAAAGTTGGTTTGCAGATGTAGACAGAGAGAAAAATGCAGAATATTAAAAAATTAGCTAAAGAGATAAAAGTATCCAACCTACCACCTTTAAGTAAACATCATAAAGAATTTAAGTTGGGTGAAGAAATACATGAAAACTGGATTCTCAGCAATAATTTTTAGTTATGAGTATAGTTCATCGAATGGACTTAATGACTGGTTTAGAGTGTGAATTCTTCACGAAAAAAGGTAATCAAACAGAAAATAAAATTAAAGTTGAAAGACTAATGAAGATTATAAAATGTCAAGGAATCTATGTTAATATATAAAATAAAATTATAATTTATTCAGGTATATGATGGCCTATATCATTTGAATTTATTGTTTAGATTAATTTATTCAGGTATATGGGTTATTATGTTAATCAAATATATTTCTATGACTCATATTGTTTGAATTTATTTATAAATAAAAACTATCTTTTTTGCATAATAAAATGTCTCCCAACAAGTTGTTTTTGATATTTTCAATAGGAATAGATATCATAAGCTAAAACTCATGTAATATATTGCTCATATAAATATATCCTTATAATTACATTAACATTAGTTGATTAAGGCAAATTTTATTACTTACATAATTTACATTTGGACTATTATCACATTTCATTCATTGTACTATCCAGCCTTCTCAAAGTGTTTGTTCATCTGGGTAACCCTTGCTGAATTTCAAACTAAACTCATTATTTAACCTACAGGGGTAGATTCTTCTTGTTCCACTGTTTCTGTTGAGAATATCTCATCTTGTTCTTATTTAATGCTGTTCAGTTACTACTTGCCTTATTTCCACAGAGTATAAACTTTCATTACTGGTCCTGGGAAATGAACTCACAATGACTGTCACCAAATTCATCAATGAATGCTTTAATCCACTATGATAGGACAATACTCTGGGACAATCTGGAATCTAGAACTTGGAATCTTAAACCTAATGTTCTTTTATCCTAAATAAATACAATACGGGAGGCATTAATAAATAAATAAAAATGAGCTGCAATAGTAAGAAAAGAGAAGCTGTGGTGAATGCAGTCAAGCATGACAACAATAGAAGCAGAGGTGTCAGCATCTATTTGGGTGATGAATTGGTCTAAGTGATTTTTATGAGCTTCTAGAAATTTGAAGTTCTTTCCATTAAGAGAATTTTGTAGGGATTGAAATTAGTCATCTGAACATGCAAGGTCAGGTGAGTACAATAAATGTAGTTGGTCAAGCTGAACCAATTTCTGTCAGATCTTCAAAGAGGAATATTGCATCATTCTGATTGGTCAATTCTAGATACTTTTTGCCGACTGCTGACTTTAATCAATCCACTTAGAAACAATACTTGTTTGAATTCAATGCTTGATTTTGCATAAGAAGCTTGTAATACACAATGCCCTTCCAATCCCACAAGATACACAGCATCACCTTTGGGTGCAGACCAGCTTTTGTAGTGGTTAACAGGAGACTCCTTTTGCTTTCCTACCACATAAACAATTCAGTTTTCATCTCCTGTGAATATTCTTTTAAAAAATGGATCATTTTTGTTATATTTGAACAGAAAATCACAGATAGAAATGCAGTTCATTAATTTTTTTTCTGTTAAATTGTGAAGTGCTAATTCTTTGTAGAAAATCATGTATCCAGTTGTTTTCAAATGATTATATAAAATATATGGAGTACCTCTGCGATGTTCAATATTGTGTGACTTGAGTTATTTTTAATCAGCATTTCAGTTTGGTCATCCCCAATGACTGCAGGACTTCTGAGACATTTTTGATCCTTGAGATCCAAATTTTCACTTCTGAACCTAGTGAACCACATATGAACAGTACTCTCAGCTTTAGCACCATTTTCATAAATCTTTTTTGTTGTTTGTACAGAAATTACCCTTTTTGGAAATAAAAGTGAATCAAATGATAAAAATGCATTTCATTTTCCTCCTGTTTCTCTTAATATAAAAAAACATCTATAATTCACAATCCACATACAAATCCTAAAGAAAGCTACAGTGAAATGTCACCTTTCAGAATATGTATATATCATAAATTTCAGTCACATGTAATAAAATTGAAAAATGCTATTAATTTTTGTTCAACCCAATAGTTAAGTATAAGAAATTTTTCATAATTATTTTTTTTTATCTTTCTATATTTAAAATAGAATTATTAACAATTAGATATTATTTATATGTGTAAATTTGAAACATGTGTTATAAACATTTACAGCAAATTTTTCTTGATATTCCATGGCCTTTCTACAGTATCTAATCTGTATGTTTTTCTATATTTTCTAGTCATGGAATTGATTGGGCCAACTGCACGAACCAAAGTTGGTTTTGTTGTATACACATCATTTGGTTTAGGTTTTTTTGCTTTATCTGTGATGGCCTACCTTATAGAGGACTGGCAACATCTTGAGCTTGCACTATCTATTCCTTGGGTTATATATGCTGCATATTGGTGGTAAGTTTATCTATTATAATCTTCTTTTGTTACGACTTTTAGACAAATAAAATATAAATAAACAATATAAATTTACTTACACTCTATTTACTTAAAAGAAACAACTTTGAAAATTATTTTACTATTTTTATATTCATTTATTCATGTATGTATCTCTTTAATGATGATAATATTAGGTTTATTTTTTAATTATATGTTATGACTTAATCTTTATTTACATCTAATCTACCTACAACAATCTTGAGTATCTTTGTAGTGTTTCTCACAGAATTATCAAGCTTAGTTCTTACATATTTCTAAAACCTGCAATTTAGATTAATATGAATAAACTTTTCATTTGTATTGTTATTAATTTGAGTAAAGACATCTTCAGCAAGTCAAAAGTGGAAAATTGACTTTTATGCTATATTGCAATGGAATAAACAAACTTAACTTGACTTAACAAGAGAAATGTAAAGTATTCAATCACTTAAAGTTAGCAAAGAGGTCATAGGCTTATACTTAAATTTTGGAGTAATAATAGAAAAAAAAATTAACAGTATTACATAATTTCCAAAATGTTCTTGCCACAAGTTAGATATAACTTAATGCTACCAACACTTTCTTCTGATATTATCACTAATTTACCATGAGAAAAAAAGCTGTTTAATATAAAAATGAAACCCTTTCTATAAAGTCTAAATCTATTTGAAATATACTTCCATATTGTATTCTCCACAAAGTTATTCAAAAGAAACCATTTAACACAGTAATTTGTTATGAGTATTATCTTTTCTTAGCTAAAGCTTTTTAACTGTCTGAACTACATTCAAACAAAGACATGGTCATGCTGTCTGAAAGTAACAAGTGATGTTACTGTCTGCCGCTCTCATTAATCCTAGTAGTCATAAAAAAGAAAGAGAGAGTAAGGCTAAAAGTATTTTTTCAGGGAGAGTGGGAGAAGAGAGAACATCACCTGTCTTATCCTGAATATATTAAGGTGCATATGAAAATGAACAAGACTCAAAACTCTGATGTGAAATTTAAAAAGAACAAATATTGCATTAGCATAAAAACAATAAACAAAATACAAGTTTTTACAAAAAGCTTACGCAAAAAGAAATTTTTGTGCATTTTATTATTAAAGACAGATAAACAGTTCAAAATATGGAATTACTTGCTCAAAAATAGATATACATGTTTCAAACTTTCAATAATTGAAAAAAACTTCATAAGGTACAATACAAATTCCATTTTAATAAATGTTAAAAATACACTTTAAAAAGTTTAAAACACATTCTTTCAAAAAAGATACACTTACTTAATTGAAAGATAAAAGAAAAGGCTTTGGCAGTATTCATCAATGTCACTAGGACTTTAACAAATTTGTTCTTTTTCTAGAACACAATTCAATTAACTTCACTGGTTTCTCTTTTGTTCTGCTTCTTTTTTTGTTTACTTCTTCTGTGAGAAACAGCCCATTTCATCCAGTGGAGACTGCCAAAATAGCTTTTCCTTCTGATATCTTTGAAATTTTGTCACCTTCTCACCAAAATTTTCTGCTAACTTGTCTTTTTATATAGCCTAGAAATAGGCTTCAGACAGATCTCAACTTTTAAATTTACATGGGTTAAAATCTACCCTCATGATTGATCAAAAAATACAAAGGTATATATCTTTTTCAAATTTGAAAAATAAATCACAAATCATCTACTTTTATCTGATTATTTTCTTTGGCTCTTTACAAACCATTCTATTTTAAAAATATTTAACAGAAAAAAGTTTCACATCAAATTTATTTTTTATCAACCATCTGGCTTTCTTTTAATTTAACAAAAAAACACTTCTCTCAAAAGCAAGTGTAAAAGACAAACCTAAACTATTATAATATTTATTTATTTTTTATCTACACTTTTTTTATTAATCATTTATTTAATTTACTTTTTTTATATATAAATTTTTATATTCTCCCTTCAATAGAAAAAGCAATAAACAAACTTCAGTCAGTTATGTGCTATGCTTAGGCATTCAGGTATTTTTCAATACATGACTAACGAGGTAGATTTTTTTTCCCACAGTAGGTTGCCATTTCTTTCTGCGATAGACCAGTTGCCATCCAAGGCTATAGAACCTGGTCTGTCCTGCTATTTATCCGTAGCTCAGGAGAAAATAAGAGAATTCATATCTTTCTCAAGGCTATTAGCACATAACTGAATGTGATAGATTCAACTGGAATTCAAACTCAGCTCTCTGATTCCTCAATCCGAACATTACTCCACCATGGTATCATATTATTCACCTTTCTTATAAAAAGTTTTTATAAGGCAAATCATGAAAGACAAAATACAATCAGTAAATAAGACCAAACCATTTGGTATGAGCTACACAGTAAATAATTTATAACCAACAAATAATAAGAGAAAAATGTACAAGTGTGGTTGGGGTATAAAATGTCTGTACCTGGAATATTCAATTGTATGAGGACTATGAAATATCTCCTGTCTGTAAAGATTGCATTTTGGGAGACATTAACATGACATATTTCTCCAGTGACAAACCAATGAAAAATGGCCAAGTCTTATGACTAATGTCCAGAGAGAGACACAGAGAGAGAAAAGAGGAAGTAAGGGTATTGCTGTTCCTTTTTATATGCTCCTACAAGTGATTCTCATTGGTTCTGCAGTAATTATTTTTGACCACAGAAATAAGTGTAACATGTACATTTTAATTTCCACTAAACTCCACAAATCTGTACTTTTAACACAAATACAATTATAATGAACATTAAAACAATAATTCCTTCAGTAAATTCAATCATTTAAGTCTCAATATTTTTAAAATCTTTCTTAAAGTGATGAATGCAAAATAGATTAAATAGTATAAAATAACCTAGAATTGTTTGCATTCATTCAAAGAGATTTAAGTTATACACAGTTTTTTTTTATCAACAATACCTTTTTTTTCTAGTGTTCAAATATATGAGAAATAAATGATGTCTATCTTGTTACTAATTTACTAGTCTTTTAAATGATGAAACATATTTTTATATTTTATCTGTGAAATTACCTTTTTCAGGTTAATTCCTGAATCACCAAAATTCTTTTTGATGCAAAGAAGATTTTATGATGCTGAGAAAGTAATACTGAAGATTGCCTATGGAAATAATATGAAACCTCCTCCTCACTTGTATACAAAGCTGGAAGAAATTGCAAATGAAGATGCAAAACCCAAATCTTATGCTATGTATGATCTTCTGCGAACATGGAGATTTTCAAAACATTATTTGAATATTTGGTTAAATCTGTACGTTCTCAGTTTTTTGTATTTCTCTTTAACTGGCTCTTAACATATACAAAATTTTAAAATGTGAAACTGGAAACAGTTACATAAAATAATTATTAGAAAGAAATTGATTAAGAGTAAATATTCTTTTATTTTTACACTAATAAAATTTAAGATTACTAAATTATATTATTTGATAATTATTAATAATATAAATTGAAGAGGATTAGATTTTAATCCTTTGATGTATGTGAAGAAATAATCAAATAATTTTTAACTCTTTCAATATAACATTTTTCACAACTCTTCTTCAGTTCAGCATTGTAAATGTAAAATATGACATTTCAAGATTATCAATAGTGAAAAGAACCTTTATATTTCTTTTTTATTAAACAAATTTATAAAGAATCTGCAAGAAACCTGATCTTCAATTGATTTTGATATCCATACTTGTACTTACCTGTTGGAATTTATTTTTTGTCATTATTTTCTTTACTTACTTTATTTGATTTTAGATTTGTAAACAGTCTGATATATTATGGATTGGTCCTATATTCAGTGGATCTTGGAGAAAATCCATTTATTAATGTCATTTTATTTGGACTGATTGAAATTCCTGCTTATCTCAGTTGTTTTTATCTATCATCACACCTTCGACCTTTCTCATTCTGTATGATAACTGGAGGAGTTGCATGTATTATAGGAAGTCTTCTTTCTCAATGTAAGTATATTATTTGAATATTTATTAATATGAATTTTTCTTCTTCTTCTTCTTCTTATTATTATTATTATTATTATTTAATTTGTTGTGAATACAGACTTTCTCAAGAGCAAGTTATGGAACTTGTTGATTTATGGAGCACAGAAAGTGTTTGGTTGTTGAGGCTAACTTATATAATATAGTGGTAGCAATTACTAATTATTCCAAGTGCTGTCCAGAATAAAGAAATCTTAACCCAATATGCAACACAATGATGAAGCAAGGCAAGTGAATTTAAAATGAAAAAGAAGATAATGATTTGTTTATCAACAGATAACAATTTATTTGGATATTTTATATATTGTGTGGTGAATATAATAAGACTCTTCAAAAGAAGGATAAGTTCACAAATACACATTTAAAAGGGGAAAAATACCATACACACATTTAGGTGTGTTTAATAAAAACCCTTTGAAAGGGGTAAGTTACATACACACATTTAGGTGTATTTAAATAAACCTCTGAAAATGAAAAGGTAAAAAGACACATTGAAGTGTGTTTAATAAAACTATGAAAATGGAAAAGTTCCAAGACAAAATACACACTTGAAAGGGTAAAAATTCATAGACAAGACACACATTGAGGTGTGTTTATTAAAACCCCTTGAAAATGGAAAAGTTCCTACCTTGGATTCATTGTTGAATCTACATCAGAGAAGCATGAAATGTTTCAGTGGATCAGGAAATCGGTTGAGTTGACAACACAAAATCCATTTGCCAACTGCCTCTTGTTTGCTTTATGGTCTGTATTTATAGCTCCCCTTAATCAAGTGCTGGCTCACAAAAAAGTCCCTCAAAAATGTGTGGCAAATGCTATCAGTGATTGATTAATAATTTGTAATATATTTTGAATATTTTCAATGCTACCAGAAGTGCCACTCAGAACCCATGTGTAAATAACTGATTTTGATAATTTGATTTCTGACTCTTGAGATGGAAACTTCCAGTCAACCTGACAGATTTATCTGTTACTCTTTTAATAATCCTGATTGATTAATCTAGTTTTCTTATCTGTATTGTTCATATATTCCTTAGAAAGATTACAATATTAGTTGTAATGTAGATATTTTGAAAGAAAATATTTTCTTAGAAAAACTTTGATATTTTTTCTTAGAAAGAATACGATATTAGTTGTAGATTTTCGATGGGTTCAGTGAATAAATAACTGAATATACAGATGAACGAACAAATCAATGTACAAATGAATAAAGTTTATATATATAATTATATATAATTTTATGCAAACAAATAAGTTATCAATGATCTTGTATTTTTTTAAATATACTCCAATAAATAATATCATTACTTTCTTTAATCAATAATAAAAATCATTACTTGCTTTTCCAATCTGCTTTCACTTATTATCTTAAAAATAGTAAATATTATTATTATTTTTTAATTTCAAAGCATTGATATGTTATCCTTCATATAAATTCTAAATTTTATTAACTGAATGTTAACTTTTCCTTTTTCCATTAAATTTTTTTGACAGTTAATTTTGTTAAAAGGACTAGTGATGGTAGCAACAATATTTTTTAATTAATTAACATTCAGCAATTAATCTGATTAACAGGAGCAATAGCTAAATAATAATAGTAAAAAGAAAAAAAAACATCAATTCTTTTTTCCATAATTATAAATATATAATGTATTAAATTATAAATATATAATTTATTATTTATAGAGAATTTGTTTTGGTTAATAAGAGTATATAGGCTCACCTATCGTTTGGCTCGAACTCCTTCCATATCTATTGAACAGGAGTAGAGTTTCATTCCTTGTTTCCTGTTCAGAATATGGTTTACTAGTTCTCTTTCTTTTTTTCTTCTAGCAGGGCCACAGTGATTTAACTGTCTTAACTTTTTGATGATCAGACTAACTAGTGGCTGTGACTTTCCATCTTGAGGGTACTAGGTTGGCAGTTTGCTGGCTGCTGCTTCTGACTGGTTGTTAGGATCCCAAACTGTTTGGTAGCACATAGAGAAGCTGCTCTGATCAAGTCACGTAACATTGGGTATTTGTAGTGCCATGTCATGCATGGGTCGGTGTCACTGCACGTATTTCCAATGGGAAACCCTAATGCCACACTATGCTCTGTTCTCAGCTATGCTCTGGCTAGTTTGTATTACTATTGACAACAGTGACAATTATGGTGGTCTTTTCTCTTCCTCCTCAAAATGAATTTCATGGAAAACACAACAAAAAGAAATACAACTAAACCAGTAAACAAAAATCACCTACTTTAATGCTAACTAAAATCCTCTTTTAAACAGGAACCCCCTATCTACAAGACCTCTTTCCATTACCAGCATGCTGATTGGGACTCACTCCATGATTTTCTCTGTAATGCCCCTTTGACTGACATCTTTAAACTCCCAATTGAAAATTGTACCACTGAAGTTTCTTTTTGGGACAAAGCCGACATGGACACTTTCATCCCTTCTCAGAACGAGGCACTGCATAGCCTCTAACTCTCACAATTACTGGTGGCTTTGTAATAGGGCATTAAATAAGTGTAAGGTCTCTATTCCTCTGCTCTTCAATCAATATGAAGTATTATCATCCCCTGCTGATAAACTAAATGCTTTGCTCATAAATTCTCCTCAAAATCTACTCTTGACTCATCCGGAATATTCTTGCCTAACTTCCCTCCTAGAACTGAGACTCTGTTGAGTGATATGCATATAACCCCTTCCATGGTTCCTGCTATCATATCTAACCTAGATCTCCACAAAGCATGTGAACCCAATGGTATCCCTGTAATAGTCATTAAGAAGTGTGCTCCCAAAGTGGCTCCAGTTCTCTCTAAACTGTATAATAAATGCCTTGCTGCCTCCTGCTTTCCTACCTGCTAGAAGTGATCATCTATTATTCCAGTTTTTAAGAACTCTGGTGAGTTGTCCAACCCTTCCGACTATCAGCCTTTTATCCTTCTATCTCTTTTAGGGAAACTCCTAGAGGCCCTAATCAATACTGAATTGGTTCATCATCTCTCATCACAGGGCCTTTTTTCAGACAAGCAATATAGCTTTCTTTTCTCCAGGTCAACTGCTGATGTACTGACAATATTTGCAGAAAGTCTATCATGCTCTAGATAAAACAATGAAGCCAGGGCTGTTGCATTGGATATTTCAAAAGCCTTTGGCAGGGTCTGTCATTCACTTCTTCACCACAAGCTGAAATGTTACAGTATCTCCGAACACTTTTTTGAACTGACCCAGTTTTTCCTTTCAAATTGTGAAATGAGAGTTACACTGAATGACCACTTGTCTAGATCCCTTCATACTAACACAGATGTCCCCCAGGGCTCCATCCTTGGCCCTATTCTATTTTTAATTTTTATTAATGACCTTCCTGATGACATCAGCTCTCAACTTGTTATCTACGCTAATGGTACAACAATTTACACCTGCCTTGACTGTAAGGCTTATCAGTTTGACAAGGTCAGAATGGCAGCCAATGTCCAAAACGACTTCAAGTTCATAGTTAACTGGGGCAAAAGATAGCTTGTTAATTTTAATGCATCCGAAACTAAACTCCTCTCTATTAATCATCTGAGAGACTCCCTGCTACTTTCCATCAGCATAGCTGATGCTATCTTCCAGGAAAGTGACTCATTGCATCTTCTTGGGTTCACATGCTCTGCTAATATGAAGTGGAAAGACTATATTGAATCCATTACTAGGTCAGTTGCTAAGAAAATCAGTTCACTATATCAGGCAAGACAATTTTTCTCTCCAGGAATCTATTTTACATATCTATAAGTCTACCATTCACCCATGCTTAGAATATTGCTGCCACATATAGTCCGGTGCCCCTGCTATATTTATCCTGAACTCCTTGATAAGATCCAAAGAAGAATCTGCAATATTATTGGTTCTGATCTGGCAGTTCAGCTCCAGTCATTTCCCCACCACTGTAAGGTTGCCTCTCTATATCTTTTCTGTAAATACTTTCATGGTAATTGTTTGAATGAGCTCTTCACTATGGTACCTAGAGTTTTTGAAGTTAAGCACAGCTCTAGACTGGCTTTGAAATCTCATCAATTAACAGTTGAGCTGGCTCAATGTAGCTATAAATTCTATGTTAACAGCTTCTTCTCTCACACTTCTTGCTTGTGGAACTCTCTTCTTGATCCATACTTTCCAGCCAACTTTAATCTGCAAAAATTTAAATGCAATGACAATCGCTATCTACTGTTCACTTGATTACTCTCTTCTTTTCTGCTCCTCATTAATGTTCTGTTCCTAATTCTTCCATAATCTGTAACCCCTTGTGTTTTAATGCATTACTGCCTTGTTTGGGGTGATTTAAAAAAACAGTAAGCAATTTTGACATTTTTTAACAGTATATTTTGAAAATCTAACAAATATGATGCATTATAATATTATATATAATAAATGACTAACATAATCTTTTAAACTGTTGAACTGCTTTAATTATGACAAATACACTTTTATAGCCTACAGAAATTTCAGACAAAGAAACAATTGTATTGTGCAGCAAAAATAGTGGATTTGGCCCATGCAATATTGGCTATCATTGATAGTAAGAGATATTTATGCTTTTATTAATTTAGTCTTTGTATTTTCTGGTACATTTTAGGTTTGTTTATGATAGCTTCTATACTAATTTTTCTTACTTGATCTATTCTTTGGATTATACATCCTAAAATATAAATCTTTAAAGAAACATCAATGACCAGGAATTAATGCAAATGTAGTTGACAGATGGGAGATATTAAATGTATAATGTAAATGCAGTGTCAATTATTTTACTATTGAAATATATTGTAAATTATTCTAAAGTAGAAATGCATTGCAAATTTTTGTTTACCATTTGACTGTATTGCTAAGAAAAAATAGATTGTCAATGGTAGTGAATTAATTCAAGTAATTTCCTCAGAGATGAAGAAGAAACTTGAGGCCACAGAAATGTAATTCTACCAAAGAATGCTGGGAATATGTAGAGGGCCGTGGCTGTTATGTTGTTGATAGAAGTCAGATGTAGAAGAAACGCATGTAAGGTTCAGATACTCCTGCTCGCTTGGCCCAACTATAAAAAAGGTTGGACTTTGATTAAGTCCAAAGAAGAAGGCAAAAAAGAAAGCAAACAAAACACAAGACCGATAATATATGTATATACAAATATATATTAATAACAAGTTACAATACATGGAAACAGTACAAAGGATGAAGTGTATGGGAATATTCTGTATGTGCGTGCATGCGTGTGTGAATATTCTGTATGTGCGTGTGTGTGTATTGTGCTTAGCGTGTTTCCACGCTATCCCTTGTTAGCGCCTACATTTCGAGGTTGTAAGCTGAAAGCCTGATGAAAAGGAGAGATTTACCTCAAGGTGTCGGTGCACAGGCCTGAAGGAAAAAAGAGATAGAGGCGAAGAGTCCGTGGCTATTTATAGCAGCGAAGAGCAACCCCTGGTGTTAACTCCGACAAATATCATGGATGAAGCATATAAGCAACAAAAGAACTTTAAGGAAAAATGGGGACAAAAAGTATACATGTACCTATGAGCAGAAAGAGACAGCTGAAATTTCTGGGACAAATAATAAGAGGACTTATGCAAATGGTTGGTAGAACAGGAACTGGGAGGAATATTAAAGAGACAAACATTACTTATACAGCACCTAAAAGAAAATTACCTTCTTTGTATTTGTCTTATTTTCTGTAAACACAATTTTGTTTATCTTTTTATTAAAAATTAACCACTCCCTTTCACAATATCAAATGTTTTTTAAGAATTTTTTCCTACAGCATTCTGTTTTTAAAAGTTTTGCTATTAGACAAACAGTAACTTCATGGCATATTTTGCCTTTTCCACATATCTCTGCAAACATCAGTATAAAGTGTTGTAGTGTGTTGAATTTGATTGGCTTGTATTCTACAATAATAAAAAAAATAATACATTTATACATGTGTGTGCTTTTTGCCTAAGAAAGGCATATATTTATTAAAATCATAAAATAGAGGAAGATATTTAATTTCATTAGGATAAGAAATTAGTAATTTAATTCATATCAACCTGTCTATAAATAAACATCTAGGTTTTTCTCAGTTCATTTGTTTACTTATGTATTATACAAATAAGGGTATAATTATGTATTATACCAATATTATACAAATAAGGGTATAATAATAGCATATAATGCTCAATGTAATTCTTTTCTGTTTTTGATGAAATTTTAAATTATACAAGTTTATATTATCACCCCACAATCATCACATTTCTAAAAGTAATGACTGGGTTAGTAAGTGATTAGCTATACACAGTAAGTATCTTTATATACTGTTTCTCAAACCATTATTTAATCACAAAAATAATCACTGACTGCAGCTAAAATAAGCAAGAGATGATAAAGTAACAGAAAGAGAAAAGAGAAAGACAGAATCTTTGAATACTATTGTATTATTTTTAATTTTAAATGTTCTTAATAAATGTTCAACATCTAACCCAGTTATATAATTTAGAATAAAATAATTTTTCTTATTTTGTTCATTGCTGTTTGTTTAAATTTGATTCTTTAAGTATGTATATCAAAGCTACGAAATAACCATTTCCAAATCAAAACAGGCATGTTTTTGTTTTAATTATCTCAGCTACAATAACAATTAAATCTTTCAGACACAAATATTTCTATGAAAAATGTATCTTCTGTCAAAAATTTAATGGAAATTTAGATTGATCATCAACATAAATGTTATGTTAACAATGTGTTTGTTTCTTTGAAATGTTTTAATTTTGTCTAAACAGATAAACTTGTTTTATACATTACAGCTGTTTCATGGTTTTCTGTTTCACTTTTCATCATTGCAAAACTTGTAATAGCAGCATCACATGGAATAATAAATTTAATTTGTATTGAATTCTTCCCACCTGTTGTACAGTGAGTATTCTCAGATTTTATTTTGGTTTCATTTTATTGTGTTGATGGTTTTCATTTGTATTGTTTTTTTCTTTACAAATTAAGAATTGATTAATTTACAACTTCTTTTAGTAATAAAAACTATTTTTGATAAATTAACCAAAGATAATTATAAACATCACTTGAATGTTTTTGCGATCACTCACAAGGGAATTATTATTATTATTATTATTGTGTATATGTACATTAGTATACATCAGTTAAGTTTGTAGCATTCACTTACATTCAAATACACTTGAGAAAAATATGACTCCATCTCTTCTCCCCCTTCTATGAGTTAAATAGTAGAACCTGTATCTGGAAAATTATTGTACTCAAAATTGTTAATGTAATATTCACTCACAAAAAAAGAACTATTTTTACAATCCCAAATATGTTTTAAATAATCCACAAAGGGTTAAATCCATAAAAAACAAATCAATCAATCAAGATTTTTACCATTTAAATAAATCTTCGTTGATTTATTTATAAAGTGAATAATTGTTTGTTCATATATGCATGTGCATGTGTATATTTAGATATATTTCATACCAATGGGCATAATTTGTTCTACAGATGATCAAAGACAGCATTGATTGAAATCATAAGGTAAAATGTTTGCAGTAGATTTACAGTGATTAATCATGTTCATTTAAAAGTAGGTTTCTTTTTCTCACCTAATATCAAAGTTGCATATTGCAACAAATGTGTCTGTTGTCACAGATTGTAGGTTAATAGCATAAACTGACAGTTATCCTTTTAAAAAACTTAATAACAAAAATAACATAGCTACTTTTACCTCAATTTATATAGACATGCTTATGTTTTTACTAATGTATATGTGCTCTTATATGCTGTAAGTATAAATGAGTCTACACAGGATAATTAATCTGGATTACTACTTAATCTGAAGTCATTGTTGATTTTGTTAATCAGCTTAGTTAATCCACAGATTGTATGTGTATTTAAATAAGCACACAAATATATGCATAATGATAATTTATGACAACAAATACTGAGTTTGAGGGCCTTCACTTGATGTCATGTCTTATAGAATTTATATTATTATTGTCAAATACTAATTATCACTAAGTTTTTTATTATTAGTATTATTAGTAGTAGAATTAATATTATTAATATTAGTATTAAAATTATTAGTCTCAGCATTAGTATAACTAGGCTGCCATTATGGTTGATAAAGTAGAATGTAAACAAATAAAAAAATATTGTTTTTTATTTTCTTAATAACTCAGGGAAATGATTTGAGTTAGCAGCTAATAGACTTGGAGTTATCCCCCTTGGACATTTTTTTTTTTTTTTTTTGCTAATTTATATTAATTAATTAAAAATTATTCCTAAGCCAGTGGCATGATAGAACTAGAAATTGGTTTATTCTTCAAGTTAAAGCATTTTAGTTGTATTGCACTAACAAAAATTGCAATACACTGCCATTTTTGCTGTGTTATGTTAACAATCATACAGAAATTAGATTATTATTGATGTAGTAATCTTTTTGTACTATGGAGATATTATCAAGATTTTTCTGGTTAACTTTTCCTGCTGTCTGCAACAAAGATAAAATAGATTTTAGATTATAGTTTGTCAATGCTTGTATGTACAATTTCATTATTTAACTAAGCTTCTGGAAATAAATGAAACATTTTGTTCAAAATGTATTATCTTGCCAAATAAATTTGTTTTATATTTCTCACACATCAGCTCAATTCAGCAAAATAAATTCTAGTTTATATTTGCTTATTTTCATTTGAAGAAGTTTATTGATTACGATAGTTAAGTTTTTCAAAATTGAACAATTTAAACCTATTCTGTAACATTAAGAAATCAAATATAATAAAAAAATTATTTTTAAAACTGAAGTTTTTAAAACTGAAAAATCTTATTTTTGGAAAATAATCATTGATCTTATTGTCAGTAAGAATTTGATTAAAATTAGACTTTGAATATATTAGTTAAATATAACCAATGTGCATTTAATATCACACAAAAATTACTGAAAGTCTTTTTTATATTTTGATATTGTAATATAATCATTATCTGATATAAAAAATGATTGTTAACTATTTTCTGCATCATATTTACCAGTTGTTTGTATTAAAGACTAGGATATTGAATTATGATTTTCAAGACAGGCAGATTTTTCTTTCTTGTAAGATTGGCACAACATAATATTCCTACTCCAATTTCACCCTATTTAACCTTAGGCTATACTAAGCTAAGCATACTAAATATCTATTTCTACATTGCATTTAAACCTTTTGCATTCTGAGAATAACACTCTTATTCTATTTTGTATATTCTTCTATTTTAGTTCTGTTGCATTGGCATGTTGCACAATTGCTACAAGGCTTGGAGGAATCTTTATACCATTCATCCTCCATATACGACATTCTGCAGAGCCCATTCCACTGCTTTTTCTTGGATTTGCTGGAGTTATTTGTGGAGGATTAGCTTTCCATCTACCAGAAAATGGAGAGATGCCAATGCCCAAATCATTGTCATTGGAATATTCCAGTACTTTTGAAAGGTAAGTAATGTACATTTATAAGATATTTACCATTATGTAACCTAAGCATCAAAATCATTATAATCAATACCAATGCCTTATCATTTTTCTTTCTTTTGGAAAAATATTTTCTTACTTAATGATTGACTTCCAAAAGAACATTTTTAGGCTGATTGAAAAATTGCATTGAATCAATTTTTATATATATATAGTATAATATTTTTGATAAAAATATAATTTTAAGGTATGCTATATTTATGGGTTAAAGTGCTTAATATCAGGAATAGAGTGTATGTAAATATAAAAGTGAACATCCAGTGGTGACAGTCTGTTTCATGCTTAAACACAATTGCAAGGCCATTATATAGTATAATATTTCTTAATTTCTAGCAAACTTGTGGTTTTTAAGCAATGAATTTGGGAAACGAAATTTTGAACTTATTTAATTGCTTCTGTAATTATATATTCTATGTATGTATATTCAAGGAAACAATCAAATTATAATTGTTTACCCATGCCATAAAAATGACTATATTTTAATAAGTCCTTATTACTATTAGATTTTCACTTATGAGATTTTTAAATATATTTTTCAATTATTATTGTTGTACTCTGTTCTTTCATGAACTTGGTTTTTCACCTTCAGCCTTCTTAAACATCTTGGAACTGTCTATCATTGTCATAACAAAGACACTATCACCTTCCATCAATAATGGAAATTAGATAACATTACTACAGCAAAAAGTTACAGACAAAAAACTTTAAAAATACATTTAGTGTATTATATATATATATATATATATATATATATATTAGATAGATCTAATTCCAGTGAATTTTCTGTTTACTTTAAATTAATTTATCTTCTTTATTTTTTGCCTTTTATTTAGTATTATGCTATTCTTTTGATGATAAAATAGATGTTAGGCTTTTTTATTGTCTATGTTTCTTTTTTTCAGAACTTCAGAAAGAGATTTTGAGGAAGACTATGCATTTTCAGGCACTCCTGCATATATATCAAGGCCTGATATCCTCTATTGAAAAAAAGTCAGCTACCCATGTTACCAGTGTTGTAATAAAACAATAAAATCGAGTTCTTGTTCATAGAACAGGAAAATAATTGCAATAAAAGAAAATCTTATCACTCTTGCTATAAATGCATGCTAAAAAGTGTAAAAGTGTCTGGAGTTACAAAATATACTTTTGTGGAAACTAAACCTTCCAAGTGAGGTTGTATTTACATAATGGTATTCATTTTAAAAATAAATTTAACTCATTCATTTCAATAAAGTGAAAAATCAACAATTCTTCACCTGATCTACTATTTTTAATATCTTTTTAAAATATTTTTTTAGATCATAAATAAAAGAAAATTTAAATAACAAAATCTAAAGAACAAATTAATAATAAACAAAATTAAATACCTGTAAAATTTCAATGTTACAGTCAAATTGTGTTACATGGTTGAATACACTTTTCTATAAATAATTTTCATTCATAATTAAAGAATTTACCTAATTGTACAATTTTATACATTTATCATTATAACTGTTGTATCTATATTTATATCCTATCATTATCAAATGAGTTTATATTCTGATTAACTTGGATTATTATTTTCATGCTCATTTAATACATAACTTTTATTTCTTGGATTTAAAAAAAGAAATAGTTCCTTTATATTCATTAAATATAATCTTAGCCAATATTTTTCAAAAATCAATTATTAATGTTTTAGTTTTTAATATTTCTGTTTAATGGAATTTGTGTATTTTTTGCTTGGTACCTGGTTTGTTAGTTATATATCTTGAATTATCTGCCCTTCCAATTAATTTACAAGACTAAAACTTTGCTGAGATTTTTTGGTGATACAGAACTATGTTAAAATCTCTCAAATCAAGACATGCAGTGACAATCTTTTATTTTCTATTTTAATTCGAAAGAAAATTGTTGCTTTTTTAACTTGCTTTTAATCAAATGGAAAGCAAATTTTATTCTGTGATTTTAATATTTATCAAATCAAATTTTTATTCACTAATATAGTCTTTATTATTATTATTAATAATATTCATATTTTTAATTTTATTCTTAGTTAATTTATATAACAGAAACTATGAAATCATGTTAAGAAAAATTGTATTTAACTTTGAAAATTTTAGTATAAATCTATGAATCAAGAATATGGTAACTATCAGAATTATATATTAAATTAGTAATTTCTTTATAAACTCTGGCTATGAATTTTGTCCCAATTTTGTAAAAACCTTAGAAGATATTATTGGTATTTAATTCAGATTTTGTCAGCGTATTTATTGCATATTAGTGTTCTGCATTATTCACTATTATAAAATAATTGTTACAATATAACAAAAATTTAGGAAAATATTTAGCAGGTTCTCAAAATTTTATTAGAAGTGCCTTAGTTATTTTATGCATAACTATTATCCTTTTAAATATCCATTGATTTCTACTTTATCCTATTATTCTTGATGTTTTCTTGCAAGTTTTATTCTAAAACAAAATGATAAAATTATTTGCTTCAACAGATTCTATATTTATTATATATTGAAATATTGTCTGTTTTTTGTTACACTAAAATCCCATTAAATTTTACAGATTTGAAGAAACAATATAAGTGAAGAGAGATAACATCATCATAAGAAAGAGCAAGTTTGAACTATTACAAATTAAAAAGTTACAAAGAACTGTATTCAGTTTTCTAAATTGTCAAAAGGTTAACAATGGTTTTTATTACTCCATGATTTGTCCTCAGAAATAGATCGAGGCATCAAGAATGGTGGAAAGAATTTTGAGGAGATACTGATTGATTTGGTAAGTTATCTATATTTAATTCCAATAATAAAAAGTATTTATTAGTATCATTTTTATTTTATCTATAGAATTTATTCACTAACAACCATGGGAAAATGAAAGTAATAGCCATATAGATGAGAACTATATGCCATTGGTGTGCTTACTCTTTCCAGTGGTGATGCTCAAACTTTCCCATCTCGTATTTCTTCCAAAATTTTATGTTTATTTGTACAGAGTAATCCAGCTGAATATTTACTATTACACTTAGTCTTTTATTTGTTCAATAAATTAATGTGAAACTAGTTCCTTCATATAAGAAGTGTCATCAGTAAAAATTCATCCTTCCATTTAATTTTCTTTATCCTTTTGAGAAAAGGTGATCTCTGATTTAAGTCAAATGAAAGGTGGCTGACCTCAGGAATAATGTTTCCTCAGGAGAAAAGCATCTTAGCTAAATAAAGTAGGGGAGCCATTTTAAAATTACTATAGGAAATGATCATTTAGTCCTTCAGCTTATAAAATATATATGTACATATAGTTGCAGATTTTATTATAAATGTCATTGTTTTCCACAATAAAATGTATATTAACCAACCAATATTCGAAAAATTTTCAGGATATATTTATATGAACATTATACCACATGAATATATTTATATATTTATATTTATATTTAAATGAACACTATACTATATGAATTTCTATATGCCATATGAATTTATTATGCAAACAAAGTACTATATAAATTTTATCCATAATTAAATCCAAAAGAGACAGGCCATAGAAATATATATTTGATTAACACAATACACCATATATCTAAATAAATTATTTTATATGTTAATATATCGACCCCTTTATTTTCTATAACCTTCAATTGTTTTTTATTCACTGATTTTATTTACTTTTCTACTCTTTTGACTTTAACATTACTTGAAGCAGTTTATATTACATCCCAAACATCTTTGTTTGAATACTATTTTCTATTCTAATATACATTTCTTTTAAGGATGAACCACAAATCTTCTATTGGATTAATACCAGGAGAGTCTAGGGGACATTTCATTAATTTGGTCTCTGAAACCTTTTTTGGCATAGTGCGTAGTAATCTACTTTGCAGAATGTTGAAGCAGCATTATATATGCTGATAACTTTTTATTTTAATAATTTTTTTGTGTATAATCTAGCCGATTTCATTTAGATTTTTTTCCTTTTTGTTTCCATCACTTTTGTTATTAGATATCCCACACTGTTATAATAGATCTACCAGGAATGGTGAAATGTTGTAAGAGCTAGGGCACAAATTTACTGTGGATGACCTTGCAATCAAGCCACTCTCTAAAACATTAGTGAATATATTTATCTATTTGGGTGTGTGTGTCTAATATTTTTCACAGAGTACACAGATACCACACTCTGATCATAGGGAAAAGTGCTAATCCATATCCAGATAATCCAATCATTTTTATGGGTACTATGCTAATAATGAAATAAATCATTATTGTTTCTTAAAATTAATTTAATGGTTCATTTTCAAAATTTTTATGTACATTTTTTGCCAACTTACAATTGAGCAAGTTGAATCAATGTTTCTTTTTTATGTTTGCATAATAGTTTTAGTAATATTACATCTGATTCTGCTACTTCAATAAATAACAAGATTCAACCAATCTTGATTGTTTATAATATCTTTATCTATATGAGTAAAAATATTTCTAATATATACTTACTTATTTGCTAGTCACTTTATAAATATTAACAATTCACTTAAGCTTAACAGAATTAAAGATATTATTGTATAGTATCATTGTATATAATTATTTAATAAACTTTCATTTTGAAAATAAATTCTGTATAGCTCATTTTGTCTTATAACAGAAAGAACTTTACAGTGTTTATCATATAATCAACATTTTAGAATCATTGAACTTTATTTATATTGAAGAATTGGAAACAATAAGATACGAAAATATTTTTATATGAAGATGTGGATGTAAAAATTGTTCTAAATTAAATATGTATTACATAATTCCTTTGTTAGTATGTTCTTCTATAATAAAATAAATCTTTGTAAAAAGAAATCAACATTCAAATTTCATATGGTTGGCTATATCAATGAAAATAAAACTAATTTTTTAAAATGAATTCTTATTGTTTTTTTATTACTTTCAAACATTTTTATTAATATGAAAAAGTAAAACATAATGCATGAAACAAAAACTTTAATACTGTTACCAATGAACTTTCTCCTCTCTATCTTAAATAATTTGACCATATCAGCAGCTATTTGTCTATTTGTAACTTCAGATAACTTTTCTTGATGACACTGGGGGAAAAAAACTTCCTGTCTTAATTTGTATTCTGACCTGATATTACAGTCAATCAAATATATATATATATATATATATATATATATATATATATATATATATATATATATATGTGTGTGTGTGTGTGTGTGTTATTTATTTGAAAAGCCATTTTATTTGTATTTTTTGCTATTATGAGATAGGTTGTATTAAAGTGTATGTTTGCATATCTCTCATATATATATATATATATATATATATATATATTTCATTGAATATGACTGACAAGGTGCTTTGACTTAGTTTTTTATACAATTTCTCATGTGACCTAATAATTTTTTTTCTTTTTGTCTGAAAAATTATATATGTATTTATATAATGTTTTCATTTTCAAAACATGTTTATTTGAAAAGCCATTTTATTTGTATTTTGCTGTTATGTGATAGGTTGTATTAAAGTGTATGTTTGCATATCTCTCACTCTCTCATATATATATATATATATTTCATTGAATATGGCAAAGGCGCTTTGATTTGGTCTTTTATACAATTTCTCAAGTTACCTAATAATTTTTTTTCTTTTTGGATGATAAATTATGCATGTGTTTATATAATGTTTTCATTTTCAAAACACAGGCAAGATATTGTGTCCATGTTCATAGTTGATATTATTGAGTGTTGGTTTTTTTGTTTTTATTAATAAGGCTTCCATTATTTTTATCCTTTTTTTTTTTTTTTGCATACAGATGATACTATTATATTTGTGTTGTCAAAAAGTATGCTACGAATACATTTAAAAAAATTTTTTTTTTAAATGTAAAACACCAGTTGACAATAGCAAAAAAATTAGATTAATTATTTATTACAAAAAATTTAAAAACTCTAACCTTATAGTTAAAAATAATAATTCACCTCTTAG